TTTTTATTGCTTTTATTGTAATTGATTTCTAATTTTATGCCATTGTGATTTAAGAAGATGTTTGATATGACTTCTATCTTCTTGACTTTGAAGAGACTTTGCCTGTGGCCCAATATGTGGTCTATGTTTGAAAATGACCCATGTGCACTTGAAAAGAATGTATATTCTGTGGCTTTGGGGTGAAATGTTCTGAAGATGTCAATTCCATCTGATTTAGTGAGTCATTTAGGATTGATAGGTACTTGTTTGTCACCATTTTTATTCTTTATGCCTATGTTCCTTCTTCCTATTTCTTCTTTTTCAGCAGACCCTTAGCATTTCTTGCATTGCTGGTTTGGTGGTAATAAGCTCCCTTAGTCCTTTTTTGTCTGTGAAACTCCTGATTTCACCCTCAACTTTGATTGATAGCCTTGCAGGGTACAGTATTCTTGTATTCAGACCCTTGCTTTGCATGATTTTGTATATTTTATTCCATTCCCTTCTGGCCTGATGTGTTTCTGTTGAGAAATCATTTGCTAGTCTGATGGGGGATCCTCTGTAGGTAACTTTCTTTCTCTCTCTGGCAGCCTTTAAGATTATTTGTCATTGATGTTTGCCAATCTATACTAATAAAAGCCTAGGCGGTCCTCGCGCCCTCACTCATGACATCGTTACAAGATGGTCGCCACAAGGTTGCCCATGCACAGCAGAGGCGGGGCCCAGTGGCCGCTCCATGTTGTGGGGACTGGGGGTCCCGCGACTCTGCGTGGCGTAGAGGAGGCCGGTTCCAGCATTTCTGCCACCTTGCACAGTGGAGGTAGGTCCCGGTGGAGGAGGTGGGTCATGGCAGGGGAGGTCAGTTGGGGGCGATCGGGCTGGCAGGGGAGGGCAGTTGGGGGCAATTGCTCTGGCAGGGTAGGGCAGTTTGGGGTAATTGGGCTGGCATGGGAGGGCAGTTGGGGGTGATCGGGCCAGCATGGGAGCAGTTAGGTGTCAATCGGGCCAGCAGGGGAGTTGTTAGGGGGTGATCAGGCTTGCAGGCCTAAGCGGTTATGTGCAATCAGGGAGGCAGGCAGGCGAGTGGTTAGAAGCCAGTGGTCCCGGATTGTTAGAGGAATGTCTGACTGCGTGATCAGGCCTAAACCGGCAGTCAGACATGGCGTGTCCCTCAGCCCGGCCTGCACCCTGTCCCAGATTGGGGAGGGTGCACGCCCGGCTGAGGGACACCCCCCCCCCATGCACGAATTTCATGCACTGGGCTTCTGGTTTAATTATAATGTGTCATGGTGTTGGTCTTTTGGAGTTCATATTGTTTGGGACTCTGTGAGCTTCTTGGACTTTTGTGAGTTTTTTTCTTCCCAGTATCAGTGAAGTTTTCTGTCATTATTTCTTCAAACAGGTTTTCTATTCTTTGCTCAGTTTCCTCTCCTTCAACCCTTA